TTTCCGGTCTTCGAGGTTTTGGAAGGCGCCCAAGAGGTGCATTACCAACTCTACAATTGCCTGTAAACTGGCATAATAAACATATTATTATATCAATTTCGCTTTCGTAATAATATTTTTCATTATTTTACACCAAATGCACCTAAAGAGAATGGGCCGAGAATTGTCGAACATCGTTCGAACCCCACTGTTCAATGTCAGGTACTTGTTCGCATTTTCGATTTAGATGGCAGTCTTACTGATTTGAATGACAAACGGAACATATGCGCTAGCGGTTTGGACAGCTCGCTCAACAGTTGTTTCAATAAATTGGCCGGTATATTGTCTGGAAGAGACGACTTTGTTTGTTTAATATTTTGCAAAACGCTTTCCACTGCAGATGTCGGGAAAATTAGTGATGAAAGCGTTTGATCAGTGTTTACAACAGCACTGTTGACATTGCGACACTGAAGCTCAGTTTTCTTGGTGAATGTCGAGTTAAGGAACCAGACATTATACTTGGCTTACTGGTCATTTGAAACGAATGCTTCATAATTATCAGCCTTAAGTATTACGAGTGGGTCCTTGTTTTTTAGTCGACTACTAATATAGCGGAATAAAATTTTGGGGTTATTTTTAACCTCTTGGATAAATCCTCATTCATACATATTACTTGCCTCATCGATCAAATTTTGACCAAATTTTGCTGCCGGCGAAATTCACCCATGTGTACTGGTGACCCAGTTTCCTTGTCTGCTAAGGTCTCTTGTCAACCAAGTGGGGCGACTAGTCGTTTGTGGTACCTTTGCTGGATAAGAGCGCTCAAGCAGATCTAGTTAAATCGTCTTAAACGATCACCAGTCGTCTCCCTTGAAAAAAACCGTCCCAATTTACGGACGTCTGTACGTATGACATCGAACTAAAATCTGCCTTCTATATATATCGTTGGGCTTCTTTACATTTCTGGCGTTGAAAATAGAGCAGAAATTATAGGTTTTGCGAAAAAAACTTCTTTAGTTTAATCCAGACGAATTCATAAACAAGGGCGAGGGTGTATGTGTTCGACTACGGAGATCCCTCTTGTTACATATACGACAACAACATCACCTTGTGTAGGTTGAAGTTCTTTGCAGAAAAGCTGGTATCCCTGTTAGACTTTTGATCCATTAAGCGAGACGCGTTTTTTTAGAATTTGGAGTATTGGAATCATGTGTATGACGACTACTGCTTATTCCATCTTATAAATTTAAATCAGCAAAACCGGCGTGTGCTGGGAGTTTAGTGGCATCTTTAAAAATCACCATGCATCGGGGCCTGGGTTCGGCTCTCCACGTTGCCTTAAGTTTTGCACAATTCTCGAAGGCCATATTTTCGATTCCTAAGAGAGATCCAAACGACGAATGTTGTTGAAGGTATGGCAAGCAGATTTTAGCGAGATCAATTGTATAAATAAAAGCATCGAAGTGACTCAGCCGTCTGTAAATTGGAAAATCTGGTAGAGGTGCTGGCAAGAAAAGGAAAATAATTTTCTCTACAACTATACTAAAATATATATTGTTTCCTCTTATAAAGTATCAGTAGTATAAATGTTAATCATGTTTTAGCAAAATTTCAATCTCCCTTAGATGGGATATTCGACAAACGAAAGGCCAAGTATCTTCTGCCGTCGTACTTGAATGACCATGGTGCTTCGCAGTCAGCTTCCAGCTGCCTCGACCCACCTCAGACATCTGCAACATCCCACCTATTTATCAAAATCCTGCCGATGGACAAAGATTGTAATCTCAGTATCGAGCAGACACACACGTACGGAAGATGCGACATCCTCAGCTGATTATTTTCGCCTTCAAACTGACCGCGGCTAACTCCACCCCAGTCAAAGGACATGACAGTTTTTACAGACCCAAAGTATTCATACTATGAAACACGTACAATGTATGACTATTTTATTTCATGTTTTGCTAGTATTGTACCTTAGAAGTCAGGTTTTATTCACATAATACAAACTCCTTATTTCGCACACTATTGACCAACCAAAAGACCAAAACAAAGCCAATAGTGACTGCAAAAGAAGGGGCTTGGGTAAGGCTTTTTCCTGCCTCCCGGGGTTTTTGACGGCGCCGAAGATGTGCTTTACAAATAAACCTTATTTTTATTATTATATGGAAGCATATATATCCGAGTATTTTACAAAAC